ATTTTTCTGTGGTGTGACAAACTCAAAACACATACTTAATTTTGACTTTACAGGGACTTTAAGTGCACATACCCTACATTTGAGTCCAGATCAGTAAGCTATTTTAAGAAAAAATGTATATTAAGATATAAATGAGATAATTAGATCATCTCATTTATAAGAAACAACTCAAACCAGAATCTACATTCAAACCATATGGGGAAAGTTTTTAATGTGTTTTAACGTATTTGAGTGAGTGTGCAGTTTAACTCTTTACTTAGAGAGAGAGAGAGAGATTTACATACCTATTATAAATGTGTCTTTTGTGTGTTCACACCATAGACTGTAAAAAAAAAAAAAACATATTTCCATTATCTACTGTAATATTGCTCTATAAACCACGTGGAGTATGTTTTAATGCAAGGAGTAAACAGAGTCTTACCAGAAGAGGCCAAGCTAAAGACAGGCAACAAAAGAAAATTAAAATTAAAATTTTAAATTGAGTAGAGAAGATAGGGGAAGCTAAACCCTACACGTGGTTAGCTAAGTTTAAGCCAGATAGAACAGAAACCTGTCAAAATACATTATAGACCCATCCATTGATATATAAATGAATTGATATCTACCTACCCTAGCTCTATTGAGCTAATCGTTTATAAATAATAAATGTTGCATCATTGCTAAAAAACAATAACTTTAGCAGATTATTTAACATACAATTGACAGAATCTATTTTTGTCAGATTTTAATTCTAACGATGTTAAACTTGCTTATACGGTATTATTACTTTGTCTTCTGGGTAAGTTTCATCTTCATAAAGACAGAACCATTCAAAGTAATCCTGATTCTAGAATATTCTCCTCTGATATAAAGTTCATTTTTTTCTTCCTTTAAGAAAATGTCAGAACCTTTAAACTCAAAGGTTTATAAAACAAATAATATCATTGAGTCTGTTGTAAAGAACCTTACATGTTTTTATATTGACAAAATGTAATATTGCATTGATTTGTGTACCCTAATTCAATCTCTTTTGATGGCCGTTTACCCCCCTTGTTTTTTTGTTAAACAGATAATTTAATCCGTGCAGATCTACACTATAACGTTTATATTTAAATTAACAAAAAACACAAAATTGTCAAGTCTATGGACGGCTTATTAAGCGTCGATTTAATGATGTTATTTCGCAGTATATCCCTCTACTGTTCGCATCAGGAACAACAGGGTCGTAAAACTGCCGGGGCGTAAAACTGTCAGGGGCGTATATCTGCCGGCTCCAGGTCTGCAGCCTCCCCCTACTCCATTTACAAGCGCCAACGGTATTTATTGTTTGATTTTCGTAATAAAATCGACAGAATCTGAGAGCTGAGATTTTTTTAATATCATAAGTAACGTGCTCTGTCTTGTCTGTTTCCGTGTCCTCTCTTTGGTGCGCGATTTTTCTGTGCGTGAGAAAATGGTTGTGTGACGTGAGAGCGCGTGAAAAGTTACAACACACACACACACACTAGGGTTGGGTATCGGTCGGGTTTTATCCGATACCAGTACCTACTCGGTATTTTTTAAACGGTTCCGGTGCCTAAACGGTTCTTGAAACGGTACTTAAGAAAACGAAACCGCACACACTTTATCAAAAAATAATACCCTTTTATTTACAGGGCCAAACTGGACACAATATTAACTTAAATCTTTAAACAATATAAATACAAATAATAATAAAACCAATATAAAATAAAAATCCACATTTACATAATATCAAATAAAACAATATTGTATCAAACAATGTAATAATACTGGAGATTAATAGAGATTACTAGCAGGCAGAGCTGCCAACTCTCACGCATTGACCGTGAGACTCACGCAATTGACCCTTTTCACACGCTCTCACGCCACACATCCATTTTCTCACGCAGAGAAAAATCGCGGACAAAGAGGACACTGACACCGACAGACAAGGTTACTTTTGATATGGAACAAATCCACAGCTGTCAGATTCTGTCAATATTTTTAGGAGATTCACACAATAAATAACGTTTTGGCTCTTTGAAATGTGACAGATCGCTGTAGCGCGTCAGTTCAAATGGCACGTGATACAGCATTGTTGAGTGAACCTATGAAAGAGAACATCTCTGGTTACTGGTGTAACCTATGTTCTCTCAATAGGGAACGAGACGCTGCCAAGCTCCTTGCGCTGCCGACCAGCTTCCTTTTTCGGCAAAGAAATCTGAGGAGCAGATGGCGCGCGCGCGCCAACATAATATGACGACGTAAGTGCGTCGAGGCGGCGCCCGCGCCATCAGCCAATGAATTGGCTTGATTCTATATGGATTCAGACTATCGGCACACCCAGAGGGCGTTCTGACGCGTAATTTAACACGTGAAATGCAGCCAAACCTTGCGAGCAAGAGCGCGCATGCGAGACAGAAGAGACTGTGCGTGTGTGTGTGTGTGCCTAATTAAGTCAGGCACCGAAATCAGGCGCCGAAATTGTCGTTCTTATTCGGTCTGGTTACTACCGTTTACGTCGGAACCGGTTCCCTATTGGCACCGAGTTTCGGTACCCAACCCTAACACACACACACACACACACACACACACACACACACACACACACACACAAGCGCGCTTTCTCTCAGACACACTCATCGACTCACGCACACACTCCTGGATGCTTTGCATTGATGTGGTACTTTAGAGTTGACGAACTCCGTTTGTTATAAGTAAATGTTCCAAACAATGATCCAAGCAGCGCGTTCTTGTCTCCCTCCTTTTTACACGAATGGTGGCTACGGCTAGAACGGCTCCGCAAAGGTCAAAACGGAATGGATTAATCTGCGTTATTTTTTTTAACGCGTTATTTCTTCTCAGATTAATTAATCGAAATTAACGCGTTATTTTGACAGCCCTAACATATATATATATAAAATGAGTATGTACATAAAAAAACATGTTGTGATATATATTATATATATATATATATATATATATATATATATATATTAGGGGTGGGAATCTCTAGGCACCTCACGATTCGATTCGATTACGATTCAGAGGGCTGCGATTCGATGCTAAATCGATTATCAGAATCTTTTTTTTGTGTGTGTGTGACTATAAATACTTTGCTTTAAAAGTAGAAAGTAATGACCCATAAAGAATTAACGTACAATATATTTTATTAACATTGCAAAGAACCAACAGGAAAATACATGTGTGTCTGAACTAGCAGCAGCATATTTGTAGTAAATTAATAATATAACAACGACCGGTAACGTTACAGCCGAGTGTTTTTCCTCCTCTGGCTGGAAACGTGTCATTTGGCTTCTCATATGTGTCTTGTTTCCGAAATATTTTAGTTTTACTCTACAAAGCTTACAACTAGTGTGGCTCTTGTCCAGCTCCTTTCCCCCTTCAACTTCAGAAGCCAAAATATTTCCACACGTCAGCTTTTAACGAGGGTGTTTGGATTTGGCGCTCAGCCATCGCGTCCGCGTCTGTTATGTGCACGCCACAGACGGTCCGGCCACTGCACTTCCGCGCTTCAGAGTTCCGTCTTTCGCGTTCCGTCAATATTACGTTATTATAAATATATATCTAAAAAAAAATTATTTTTTTTGAAAATCGATTTTTGACAATTGTGAATCGATTCAGAATCGTCCACGTCCGCATCGCGATGCATCTAAGAATCGATTTTTTCCCCCACCCCTAATATATATATATAAAATCACAACATGTTTTTTTTTATGTGGAAATACTCATTTTATTTTGGACGTGTTGCTTATTGAGAATGTATTGGGGGAATAGTAATTGGGGACATCTAGAGGATGTAATTTTCTATCGATCATCGTGGTTCACACACAACGTCACTGTAATGTGTCAGTAATAACAATATTATCACTTGGTCTAACGTTATACTGCACATAACGCTGCCTTTAAATCTGGGATGGCGAACCCTAGACACATGTTATGCACCATTAAAAAAGTAGCACAGGAAATAGGAACAACGTGAATCTGTATTTATTTATCCTAAGCATTTATAAGAAAATGGGAATCACTCACTATATTAGGGTACACTTTTTAAATCTTATATCAACATAACACTACATAACTAACATTTTCTGTTGTTCTCCCGGCAGATCCTGTCAAACATATCACCTGTCGAACCTATCCGAACCTGATTTTCAAAACCCAAAGGCACTTTTAAGAGCCAACCTCTATCTCTTCATTATTTTCTATATCTTACACCCTCTCTGTTCTCTCACTACATATATTTCTGTCCATCTCTTCAATCCTTATCTATCTCACAGTCTTTATCTATTGCTCTTTTTTTCCTCCCTGTCTGTCTGTCTGTCTGTATCTGACTGCATTGCAATGGCCACCAAGCATAAACTTGATTCAAAGGATCCACACTACCAAGAGGGGAGACGCATGGCTCTGGAGCTGAAATTTGAACACATTCTAGCTGAAGCCAAGGTTAGAGTTTTTGTACACCTCAATCATTTTATAACAAACATAACAAATTAAAGTAAAACATGATGAGGAATATGTAAGAATGATGAGTGCAGAAGATTTAATACAGGTATATTGCATGATGCATCCTGCCATGCTCTGTGACATGTGTTAATAAGGGAATATAATAATAATAATAGTAATAATAATAATAATAATAGTATATGCAGTTCCATCCCTCTGAGTTACAGGGACTTGGAGAATCTATTCCAAGGCTCATTTAAGCTGTTCAACACCTTACTAACACACTATGTTGTGTTTTCCTTTCACAAGTTACCTGCCTTTTGGTACTATGACAATGTTGGACCAACTCAAATTAGAACAATGTAATTGTTTATTGAGAGTTTAAAATATTCAAATATCTAAAAAGACATTAAAAAGTAGATAAACCTTTCAGTGACACTATTGTAGAAGACACTACCAAGTACTTAACAAAAATATGTCTGATTTCATAAATTGTTATAGTATATAGTATCAAAAGAAGAACAAGAATAGAGTGTGATAGCCTAACTTGTTCTTATTCTTCTATGTTTTGTTTACAGCCACATACCCCACGGTTGAGTGCTCCCTGTCATCCAGTGTGAAGGTTCCACTTACTGCAACCTCAACAAAACTAAATCCTCAAGAGGAATTTGGTAATTCACAGTGATGAATTTATGAATGTACAGTATAAAAAAAGTGTTCATTCTGATACTGATCAGTTATCTATAGTGAATGATCCCTTACAGCTTTATTTTTGGATTTTCTTTACAGAAAAAAATATGGAGAGGCTCTCTGATATTTTGGCGTCATGTCCTTCTGCTGCTCAGCCTCAAAGTAGCTCTGCATCATCATGGTCTTTTCGGCAGCAGAAAGCCTCAGAGCGCTGGAAAGAAGCAAGACCATACCACCTAAAATGCCTTATTTCAAAAGAGGCTGTTGGTCATCCCCTGTGTTGCCTTTGCAACGAGCCTGCTGTTATTAGGTTGGTTTTCATTAATACCAAACTTCAATTACCCAGGGTAGGTTTGCTGAGTGCCCTGCTTTATAGGCTAAGATACATGTCTTTTGGGATGGGAGAAGACTTAGATATCCAGATGAAAAACACATTAATGAGAAAAGTAAATCTAGGACCTTCTTGCTGTGAGGTGACAGTGCTAAACACTGAGCCACTATGCAATCCTTTACAATTAAATCAAACCTCATAAAAGCGGAATAGCTTAAATAGAGTATACAGTACTTTATATGAATTATTCACCTGAAATAATGTATTATATTATAATATTGTTTTATTTTCTCCCTAGGTGCAGAGAGTGTCTTCCTGAGGAGTGGTTCTGTGGGGACTGTGATGTATTGCATCACAAAAAAACAGCCACTCCACAACCGGGAATGCGTGATTCATGGTTTTTTTGAAGCCATTCCTCCAACCACATGCATCATTAAAGGGGAAGATGGATATTGCACCCATGAGCAAGGTACGTTCTCAAGAAAGCTTTAATTTTGCTGTTCAATGTGTGTCTGCAGACAGTTACAGATCATCTAAATTATTTGTTTTCCTTATTTTTGCCAGCTTGCATTTTGCCAACTGTGAAGGTGCCAGACTGCTCCTGTGGAGGCACAAACTTCACTGTGTTACCAGGCAAACCAGTGATTTTAATTACCATCAATGGTAATAATAAAAAAAAAATATATATATATATATATATAAAATTTGATGTTTTTCACACTAGTGTGCTGTGGCATTGTGCTTACAATTGCAGAAGTGTCAGAACATCTGGAATAGCACATGGTATTGTTATTAACTGAAACAAAGACAGATGTTTTTTTGTTTTGTTTTTTATCCTCCACAAATAAAAAAAATTATTAGCATCTTTCCAGCATGATGTCCAATCAACACAGCAGTGTGGAATTTAGTGAATTAGAAAATATAAATGTGGGATTATAGGAACTTGTGCAATGTCTCTGTCATGTATTTGTCTCTTGTTTTGTGTGCAAACACATGGCCGGTTGTTTTGGGCTATGTTGTTTGCATTGTCTCGTGTTTTACCTCTTTCCTTAGTTAATGTTGGATCAGTGTCACCTGTGATTGTGATCATGTGTCCTTACCACGGCCCTTGTTCCCTCAGTAGTATTGTTGTTCATCAGTGTCACCTTTGTCTTTGTGATTATGTGTTCTATGTAAACTACCGGTTTTTATTCCTCAGTGCTGGTTTGTCTTGTTAAATATTCGATCCTGTGAGGATTGTGAACTGTTTGTGAAGGTTCCGGTTTATTGTCAAGTCTAGTTATTGTTTCATTTGCCCCATCGTTGTTTGTTTGCCCCATCGTGGGTTTTTGTTTTCTGGTTGTAAATAAACCGTGTTTTGTAAAGTTACTGTCTGCGCTTGGGTTCTATTTAACGTGACGTGATAGTCTCTCAACCATTCACAATGTGCATAATGAACTAAGTGTTGTAAAATTAAGTATGTGGTAAGTGTGTATTATATTTTTAATATTTTTGTTTTGTTCCAAGGGCGTTTTGACTTGCATCAGCCACTGTGTGAATGTCAAACATGCCAGCAGCAGTGGACCCCTGACTTTAAAGACCTCCTAAGAAGTGGATATTGGCCAGCCTCCGTCACCAATTCCACACTTTATACACTGGAGCTCCCTTCACGAACTCAAGATCATATCTCCGGGATTCTCCAGACAAGCCTTTGCAAAGCTGCTGGAACATCGCACTAAGTGTGGAGGAAGAGTAAGTGCAAATGTTATTACCATTTTATAAAAAAAAAAAATTCCATAAGCAGACAATATTAAAATACTATTTCATTCTATATATTTTCCAGTCTGGACCTATCAACGGCGATGCACTGCAGCTTCTTAGAGCTTTCATATGCATCATTTGAGGAAGACCAGCTCTGCTGTAGTGCTCCTTTCACCTGCCCAGCCTGCACGCCGGAAATGTTGGCTGTTTCAGCAGATGGAAACGGAAAGCTATATCGCTTTAGCCGAAACGGAAGGTGATCTTTCTTCCAGTCTTTTTATTGATTTATTTTCTTACCTCATATATTTCATGAATAGATTTTCTATTTTTCTTTCTTCCTCAGCTCTGATGATCCTGGCTTTTTTTAGGGGCTCTTTGTGGCTGAAGACAGTGCGGTGTCTAGATTTGTAGACACTATACAGAAAGCAATGAAAAATGCAAGTTGACAAAATAGTTGTTACAATAATAAATGTAACCCCCACTTCAATTACTCCTGCCTACCAATTACAAAATCAAATTGAGAGAATAAATGCCATATATTGAATGACACCGTTGCTTTTATTTGATTTGTCATGTTTGTTTTGTGTGTCATAGACTAGGGGAAGAGGCACATGTGGGGACTCCCAGTGGACAGCAGCAAGGGAAACTTCAAGGAGGGCTTCAGAATTGGATGAAGAGGGGATTGAGGTTGCTGTGTGTCGCCATGGGTTCCTTTTGAAAGCCCTTAATATGTACAGGGGGGAGATATTTGCCTACCCTCTGTACCTTCAAAGGGAGCTCATGCCAGCCAAGGCCCAATTCTTCGCAATGGACGTGGCATGCAAATACTGGCCATACCTGGAGAAAGTTGCTAGTGTCCTTCCTGCTCTTCAGGAACTGACCACTATGAAATCCTTTCTCAGTGTGATGCATGCTCGAGCCCATGCTACTAAGTGTGAGTTGTGTATAATATTTTGTACATTTGTAATATTTACAAGCACATTAATAATATGAAATATAAGTTAAGCTACACTATATTATCTTGTCTTTTTGCATAACCATTTCTTGCATGGAATGTAATGCCCTTTGATGGTTTGTGATATTGGTCTATATAAATAAAATTAAATTGAATGTCTTCCACCCTTTACTACCAGATTAATTGGAGTGGCAGGAACCAGGAAGGAGCAGGGACAACCGCTGGTGAGGAGGTGGAGCAAGTGAACAGCTACCTCTCACGTTGTGCCCTGACGACCAAATATATGTCCAAAGCAGGTGATCGGAGTTTGCAATATTCATTTATACTTTTTTTTTTTTTAGATTGATCATCATAACCTCATTATTTGCTTTCAACAGCACGGGTGGACATGCTTACATTGCATGCAATGGGGTGGAACGAGAAAAAAAAAATTTTTTTACATCAGGCAGTTTCCACAAGATATGTGAAGGTAAGTCTCATATTAATTGTTTTGTGTGTCCTTTTGTTGTGTTTACTTGGCCTGTTGTTAATCATACAAAGTTTTAATCCTGATTATTGTATAACACTGTTCATCAGACTTGTCAGAGACTCCATGATGAGACTGCAAGGCTAGCTGACTTAAAAACAGAGCTAGATTGCACAGATGAAGTGGTGTCACAGTGGCTATCTGATGTGAAGGAATGGGCAGCTGGTGGTAAGCATGACCAGATAAAAGAGTTCCAGAGTTCTGGAACTTACTGACTGAACAAAAGTATCACAACCTCAGAAAATGACAGCACTTTTCGGGTCAACCTACTTGTATGAGTGTGCTTTCTCTCACATGAAAATCAAGTCAAAGTACAGATCTACAATGACTGATGACCACCTTCTGGCCTGCTTAAGGCTTGCAACCAGCTCTTACTGCCCTGACTACGAGAAACTAGCTGCCTCCTCCCAGTGCCAGAGGTCCCACTAAGGTAGGGAAATAACTTTAGTATGTATTTGTTGTTATGCATGTCTGAGCGTTTCTGGTTATCCTTGCCTGCCTGTGTCTCTGACCCTTGCTATCTCTAACTCTCTCAGATTGTCTGCAGACTACCAATTGACCCTAGCCTGTTTCTGGATTCTGATTGTTCTGCTGCCTGCCTAGTGACCCAAAGCCTGTTTCTGGATTCCTGCCTCTGACCTCCAGCCTGGTTCTCGACTTGCCTCTGTTTGATCCCTGAAACTGTCTATGCAGATATTGACCTTTGCCTGGAGTTTCTGTTTAATAAATTGTTGCAAATGGATCTGTCTCTGCCTTCTGATTCACAACAGATTTATTATATATGGATTAGAGCTACTTTTCTGTTTGTTTTGTGCATATTAAATCTGCAGATGCGCTGTAAGTAGCGACTGGCTTTCTGTTTGGACTGGTAGATCTCGGCACACTGATAAATCTAAAAGTAGATCTTTGTTCAAAAAAAAGGTTGGGCTCCCCTGCTATGGACTTTAACTGAACCAGCGCAGGATGATACAAAGTCTGGAAATGGAAATGTCCTTTAATTTTTAGGCGGGGACAACAAACATCCTGGGTAATAACTTGGCGTGATGTGCCACCTCCTGTGCTGGTTAAGAGTGTTCCATCTATCCCACCAGGTGCTGATTGTAGCTTGCAGAGCTTACCTGAGGTGTTCACCGCCTGTGCAGTAACACGTGCCATGAACCGTGCCTCTGGAACTGAGGTTCTAGAGAAAAATCGTAAGCCTAATTTACAGCCTATTGTTTTGCCCGAATTGCCATCTTTGTCATTTAGTGATTTTGTTGTAGCTCAGGAGGACTCAACATTGAGTGAACTGTTTGCTGGGGTTTTGCCTGTTGAGGAGCAACATAGTGCAGCGAGGGGTTATTTTGTTCAGGATGGGCTGTTGGTTTGTAAGTGGATGCCTCAGACTAAAGAGATGTTTGAGGATCCCGTTTTCCAGATAGTAGTGCCGATGAAGTTTAGATTGTTGATCTGTTTGATTGTTGATTGTTAGATTGTTGTAAGTTGATACTACAGATTATGGCCATTTAGGTGTGCGGAAAACGTATGACAGACTTATGAAGTACTTCTTTTGGCCTTGCCTAAAGAAGGATGTGGCATGCTTCATTAAGACCTGCCATACATGTCAGTTAATGGGAAAGCCTAATCAGGTGATCAAGCCAGCTCCACTTTACACTATTCCGGCTTTAGGGAACCCATTTGAGCATTTGCTAATCGACTGTGTTGGACCATTGCCTCCATCTAAGTCAGGGTGTGTTTACCTTTTGACTGTGATGTGTCAGGCCACCCGTTACCCCGCTGCCTATGCGTTACGTACAATTTCTACCAAGTCGGTGGTGAAGGCTCTCTCTCAGTTTATTTCCATCTTTGGCATCCCTCAGAGTGACAGAGGCTCTAATTTTACATCGCGTATGTTTTCAGAAGTGCTTGAGCAGCTGCGTGTTAACCCTCTGGGGACCAAGGGGTTTTTGAGGCCCTTGGGATGTTTTGACATAATAATAATAAACATTTATTTGTATAGCACTTTTCATACATGGAATGCAACGCAAAGTGCCTTACAGGCATAAAAACAAATTCACACAATATCAATAGAAAAAAAAAAAGAAAAAAAAAGAGAGAGACATACACAACATTCACATAATATTATTATGCTGATAAGCAGCTTTAAAAAGATATGTCTTAAGCTGCCTTTTAAAAATTTGAATACTAGTAGCCTCTTTCACTTCATTTGGCAGAATATTCCAAATTTTTGGAGCATAATGACTAAAAGAAGCACCACCAGATCGTTTATGGGTAACTCTATAATGTGCCAGTAGATTGGCATTAGAAGATCTTAATCTACGATTTGGAACATACTTTGACAGACATTCTGAAATGTACAAAGGTGCCAGATTGTGCTGAGTTTTATAAACAAATAAAAGAACCTTAAAATCGATTCTTTGATGAACTGGTAACCAGTGTAAATCCATTAAAACCGGTGTAATATGTTCTCTCCTTTTTAATTTCATTAGTACTCTGGCAGAAGCATTTTGTATCAATTGTAGCTTCGCTAAAGAACTCTTCGGTAGGCCAGTGTACATAGCATTGCAGTAATCAAGATGAGAGAAAATAAAAACATGTATGAGTTTCTTAGCATCATCCAAGGATAAAAATGGTCGAATCTTGGCTATATTTCTCAGATGATAAAAACAAGTTTTTGTCACTTGATTAATATGAAATTTAAAGTTCAGATCGCAGTCCAAAGTGACACCTAAGCTCTTTACTTTCTTCTTAGATTGTGAGGCTAAGGGACCCAATCCAGCCTCTATCCTCTCCCGCTCATGTTTTGGACCCACAATCAAAATTTCAGTTTTTTCCTCATTCAATTTAAAAAAATTGTTGTTCGTCCACTTTATGATGCTGGACAGACAATCAGCCAGCCTCTCTAATATTACAGTATCTCCTACTTCAACTGAGATATATAACTGTATATCATCAGCATAAAGATGATAATTCATGTTGTATTCCTTAATTATGTTACCCAACGGGAGCATATATAATAAAGCAGGCCCAAAAATTGATCCTTGTGGAACACCTTGTTTTATCTCATGTGATTTTGAAATACAGTCACCTATATTAACTAAAAATGTCCTTTCTGTTATATATGTTTTGAACCAATTTAAAACATTACCAGAGAGACCGACAAGCTTTTCCAGTCTGTTGAGTAGAATGTAATGATCAACCGTGTCGAATGCTGCACTTAGATCTAAAAGGATTAAAACTGAGGCAGTGCCTTTATCTGCATTTAATCTCAGATCATTTACTACCTTTAATAATGCTGTTTCTGTATTATGACCTTGTCTGAAACCTGACTGATATTTCTCTCGAATATTATATTCATCTAAAAAATTAAGCTGCTGCAATACAACTTTTTCTAAAATCTTACTCAGAAATGAGATGTTAGAAATTGGTCTATAGTTATTAAGGAGAGAACAATCAAGGTTTCTTTTTTTTTTTAAAGTGGCTTCACAACAGCACATTTAAAAGCATTAGGAAAAATGCCTGTTTCCAGGGAACAATTAACTATATCAAGAACATAGTCTATCAAACACTGCGATACCTCTTTAAAAAATACTGTTGGTATCGGGTCAAGATAGCTGGAAGAGGAATTTATCTGAGAAATAATTTGCAGTAGATTTTCTTTATTAACTATCTTGAGCATTTCCATTTTATGGTGTGGATAACTTCCCAATTCATCCATAATAAAATTATCAGTATATCAGTATAAGACATGCACTGACATTTGTGCTTTTTTCAGTTATTTATAAACATGTTAATGGCAAAGGTGTAAATTCACTCTATATAGCACAAACGGGGCTACCATAATCTGTGAGCAACATGTATGTACATGTTTGTATTTTTGAGAGAATATTATTTATGCATGGTTATTGAAAAACTTAAAAATAAAAGTTTCTGAAATAAGGCCACAAAACACATTATTTCTTCACAAGACTTTTGAAAATTGAATCACATAGTCTAGAATATTTGCTCCAAAACTATGTGAGAATCATCCTGACTACTCATTCAGATAAGTCAATAAAGTCTTTTAGAATGTGTATGACGTGTTTTGTTTGAGAAAGCTTTATGCGAGGAGGCGTGATCTCTCATTAATATGTATGGCATTTCACACCTGAGAAAGACAAAGACCCTCCCATAATGGCCCTATTAGGTGCTATCAGGCCCTATCATTACGAGAAGCCTTGCACAAAGAATGAGGAGATTTAAAAAAGAATGGCTTTTAGATTGTTTGGATTTATTTACAACACAACATAATCCAAAGATACACAACAAAGGACTGGTTTCTGGTTAAAATTGCTTTGTAATTATATATATATACACACACACAGCTTAGAATAAGTGAACGCACCCATGCTAAAGTTGACTAAAAAGAGGAATAAAAAATCTTAATGCCTTAATTTAACAAATGAGGAAAACTCCAACCTTTAGGGACATGAATAATTTCCCTGAATTCTTTGTGAATGAATAATGTATCGCAAATAATTAAATGTTCTTCTTTAAAATACAGGGTGCATACCTCTGGACACTTCTATCACACACCCTTCACCATATAGACATGGTTTTATTTCAGTTCAAAGTTAGAGTTGGAAACATCTTGAAAAGAAAATTGTCTTTTTCCATAAATGTCTTAGTTTGATCATACATATTTCAAAGTTGAGGATTCATTATTTTGATATAGCTTGCATTGGAACAAACATCTTAGTTGATTAGTTTATTGACAAAACATACTATATATTTAACATATGAGCAGAAACTCCTAACAAAAGCTTATTTGATTTGAAAAACTTTATCCAAAACTAGTCAACGAAATGTTCTTTTATTTCGTCTGTAACAGTGCGTATCTGTGCATTCACACACACACACACACACACACACACACACACACACGATTCACATTTAAACAGTATGCTAATTTTTTTTTAGAGTTAAAAGATTAAAACATTTACTAACATGAGGTCTTGTGTCACTGTCAGTCTTTTTACATCAGTGCAAAACTAGGGTATGCAGATTAAGACCTCTATTCATCAGCATGTTTTGATAAATCCTATTACATATAGCAGAAAAGAAAAACAAAAACTGCGACCAAATCATATGCTGGTGCGACCAACTGAGAAAGTTGGTAACACCAGTGCAACCAGTGGAAAAGTTAGTCTG